GCCATTTTGCTTGATTGCTGTCGTAAAGTGTTCATTCACAAGAAGGCGTTCGTTTTTGTGTCGCAAGAAGGCATTCGTTTTTGTGTCGCAAGAAGGCATTCGTTTTTGTGTCGCATTCGTTTCAGGTTCGCAAGAAGGTGTTCGTTTCAGGGCCGCAAGACGGCGTTCGATTCAGGGTCGCAAGTAGGCGTTTGATTCAGGGTCGCAAGTAGGCGTTCGATTTTGTGTCGCCAGAAGTTGTTTTTTTTTTCCCCCCCCGTTTCTCGCACAAGCTATTTCGGCATTATGGCATTCGACCCGAAGCTGATACCACTGTTCGATGGAAGCGATTCTGGACAGTCGGTAGTGGAATGGTTGGAGAAGGCGGAACTAATATGTCAGTTGAGCCGTGTGAAGCAAGCGAATCGAGTGTGTTATCCCAATGCGTTTGTCAAGTGGCACATATGCTGTTTACCAGCAATTGAGTGAGGAGAAGCATGCAGACTTCAATTGTGTTAAGAAAGCGTTATACACAGCTTTCGCCTTAGATCCATTCTCCGTGTGGAAGCAGTTTGCAGTACGTCGCCTTCAGCCAGGGGAGATGGTCGATGTCAAAAAGGCAGAACTGCGCAGACTCGCAGTTCTGTTTGATGGCGTATCAGAAAAGTGTTTGCAGTGGACATTCGTTGCTGGATTGCCTGAGCATGCAGAGGAGCTTTTAAGAGCGTCATCCCAGATGGAAGATCTGGATTTGTCACATGTGTTGACACGAGCTCGCACTATTTTGAAGAAGTGCACTGGTCCTACGGAGCAGGCCGCAGTGGCTGCACAGTTGAAGGAAACAGATGTGCACACAAGGTGCTATAAATGTGATGGACCCAATCATAGGGCGAGCGATTGTCTCCTGGGTCGTGAACCATCCAAAGGTGCTGGTACCAAGCACCGATGGACCATCACTTGCTATCGATGTCATCGGCAAGGGCACATTACTCGGTGCTGTCTAGGAAATGGGCAAGGGGGCGAGAATTCAGCGCCAATCTCCTCCCCAAAACCCTTGTAAATGGCGCATTGCCTGTAGTGACAGTTCATATAAATGGAATACAACGTATAGCTCTGGTGGATACAGGATGCACACAGTCACTAGTCCGCAAGTCATGTTGTCGTGCATGGACAAGAAAATCAACACGCACGCTTACAGTAGACGGAGGCGCACTTGACTGCTGTGGAATTGGAGTGGTACAAGTTAGCGTTGGTGCAAAGCCATCCATCGCTATGGTAGCCCTAGTCGTGGACGGAGACCTGCTTGGATTTGACTTCCTGCTCAGACTAGACGCCATCAAACAGTTGGGAGGAATATCTGTAACTGGCACCGGTGAGGTGAAGTTTCCGCAGTGTGTCGAACCAGTCATTGCTGCCATCACCATTACTGAGCCCGACTTTAAAGTAGAATTCGATGAGACCACTCAGAGGTGGACCGCATCTTGGAAATGGGCTGGCAACCAACCTCCGGGTACATTAAGAAATAGACTGACAGAATATCCAGCTCCCACACAAATTCGGGAGGATATGATCGGGAACTCCAGATTTGGATACATAACGGCTGGCTGCTTCCTTACCCAGAGGAGGAACTTGGACCCCCAAAGGGTTTAATCCCCCTCATGGCCATTCTGCAGGAAAACAAACAGAAGGTTCGGTCCGTTATGGACTATTGGGAACTCAATGAGTACGTTGACGTATACGCGGCCAATGCAGATGTTTGTTCGCAAAAGTTACGGGAAAGGCGTCAGCAAGGACCAAATGCTGACATGCTGGACCTACGCTGGTCCTATCTGCAGGTACACATCGACAAGTCCCTTTGGCCATTCCAAACAGTGGAGATTAAGGGACAAAGGTATTGTCTAACCCGCTTAGGATTTGGGCTCAATGTTGCCCCTTTAATCATGTGGGCTATTGTTAATACCGTCTTGAGCCAGGACGAGATCGTCAATGCAGCCTCCTCCTCTTATATTGACAACGTTTTTGTTAATGAGAGTGTGTGTTCTGTGGTCTGTGTCAAGGAACATTTGGAGCAGTTTGGTCTGTCAAGTAAGACCCCGGAGCGGCTAAGAATTGGCACACGCATGTTGGGATTGCATGTCTGGAAGGAGCAAGGAAAACTGCGATGGCATCGTGGATGTGAACTTCCAGTAGTCTCCGATAAACTTACCTGCTGAATTGTCTTCTCGCTGTGCGGGAAGTTGACTGGTCATTTTCCTGTATGCGGTTGGTTACGTGTCACCACGGCATTTGTGGAGCAGAGGGCAAACACTTACCACTGGATGGGATGATGAAGTGCAGGACCCTTTTCTAGCCCAGATGATCAACGACATTTTTAAGAGACTATCCCAGGACGATCCAGTGAAAGGTGACTGGTGCATAAGTGAGCAAAATGTAACCGTGTGGGTAGATGCAAGCTCCTTAGCCACCGGTGTGGTTGTGGAGAGCAATGGCGCCGTGGCAGAAGACGCAAACTGGTTCCGACCGGTGCACAAAGACAAGCACAGCAACTTGGCTGAGCTCGATGCTGTGTTGTGAGGTGTCAACCTTGCATTACAATGGAAAGCCAAAACCATTCATTTACAGACAGACTCAGCATGTGTGCATCGCTGGGTAGCTGACACACTGTCCGGACGAACGAGAGTGCGCACCAAGGCAGCCTCCGAGATGCTAATCAAATGTCGGCTAGCCACACTCCAAGAGTTGGCCTTAGAATACAAGCTGGACATTGATGTAGAGCTTGTCAAATCATGCAACAATCGAGCCAACCAATTTACTAGAGTACCGCAGTGATGGTTAAATGAAATGCGCAAAATAACGGAACCCAGAAAACCTATATGCGCTGTGGCTGAAGAGCGAGATGTTGCTCAAGTACGAGCCATTCATCAATCCAGCGGACATCCCGGTGTGAAGAGAACACTATTTTGTGAAGTTGATCAACTCAAGAGTAACAAAAGCTGAGGTGCGAGCGGTGGTTAGGGGATGCAAGGAATGCCAGTCAATCGACCTGGCCCCAGTGCGTTGGAAACCAGGCAGGCTTGATGTCGCAGAAAATTGGCACAGGGTTGCAATGGATGTAACCCATTTCGGACATCAACTATACCTGACGCTGATAGACTGCGGCCCCAGTCGTTTTGCCATTTGGAAGCCCTTGCACCACCAAGACTGCTAGCATCATCAAGGAGCTGGAAGTGGTGTTTTGTGAAAGAGGGCCGCCGGTTGAGCTGTTTACAGGTAATGGCGCAGCGTTTTGTGGAGAGAGGTTTGCCGCATTTGCAAAGATGTGGAATGTACAAATACGATTTCACTGTGTCCACGTACCATCGGGGAATGGGATAGTTGAGAGATCCCATTGTACAATAAAGTGCATCGCGACGAGAACACAGTGTTCAGTTTTGGAAGCTGTATATTGGCACAATGTTACCCCAAAGGACAATAAAACAGCTTCAACTGCACCGCAAATTGCAAACCTACACTTACAGGGTCCGAGATTAAGGGTATCGACGCAGCTTTGGTGCGTGATTTACACAGTTGCCAATCCTTATACGGTAGGAGAGACTGTCTGGGTGAAAAATCCGCACGGAAGGTGTACGACACAGTTCAACAAGGGTACGGTGACACAAATTAATAGCCCACACTCAGTCTCTGTTGATGGAATACCGCGCCACATAAAAGATGTGCGTCCAGCGTGCGGGAAGGATTATTCCGTCAGCAACCACGTTAGTTCTTCTTCTGATGATGATGATGAAGCCCCGATGGTATATATAAAATCACAGGAAGAGCACACCTCAGAGAGTAGCGCGCCTGATGAACCTATGCGGGATGAGGTCAGCAAGACGTCTGAAGAGAGCACCACTGAGGAAGCGCTTGAGACCATACCACTAAGACGGAGCACCAGGCAGAAACGGCCTACCCCACATTGCCATTTGTGTGATCTAGAGTTCAGGGAGGAGTATAACGAGCATGCACAGAACCGTCCTTGAACTGCGTGTGTGTGTGTTGTCGCTGGGCACACCTTGGAGTACCATAATGGACTCGACCGATGACTACAAGAAGAAGATGTGCGAGTCGTTTGGTGTCTTTTCTTGGGAAACAAAAGCCGTTGCGGTCGGTCGTCCATCGGCTGCAGTCTTGGGTGTCGTTTTGCTCGTTTGTTGTCGTAAAGTGTTCGTTTGCAACAAGGCGTTCGTTTTTGTGTCACAAGAAGGCGTTCGATTCAGGGTCGCAAGAAGGCATTCGATTCAGGGTCGCAAGAAGGCATTCGATTCAGGGTCGCATGAAGTTGTTTTTTTCCGCCCCGTTTTCTCGAACAAGGGAGACTATATTGAAAAATGGTGAAAAACTGTCTTGTTTCTCCAACTCCTTCTGGGTGAGGCTTAGAACTTTTTGAATGATGCTTTTAAATTAAAGCTGTTGTACACATCAAAATATTTTCTTATGTTATTTTTACATGTAAACTGCATTTGCAATGTAAACAACTTTTCAAAAATAAAATTATCCAGTTCTGTTCATTGGATATAAATAAACTTCATCTTTTCTAATCTATCTTCTTTTGAATAAAACCAAAATTATTACAATATAATTAACATTATATAAGTTTTGTGCATTTTTATCAATACAGTTATTTATTCTTCTTGTCACTGTATAATGCACAATTAAACTGGACTGTAGTCCCCAGATGCCTCAACATACACATAAAAACAAAATGCATGCAGCATTGAATGAAGAAAAGTAACATGTCAGCTTGTTTTCAAAAGTGTGAGACATCCCATTGTCATCATTACATAAATTTCTTATTCATTCCAAATCCTACACCATATAGATAAGTATAATGTGAATCAATATTTAAGTCAAGGTACAACTCATTTCCTCTAACATACCTTGAATAATACTGATCAGATTTTTAAATTTATACAAAAATATTTGTTATTATTTACTGTTTGAATACACAATAGAAATATGAAAAAATTAAAAAAAACACTTAC